TAAAGCAGTTAACACTCCCCATCCAGGCTGTATGAAGGACCCTCAGCTCTGGATCTGGGCTCAGAGAGGCCAAAGTAAAAAAGAAGTTAGGACCCTGGCCACTATCTCCGAGGAGGAAGACCCATGTGTTGGGAGTCGGTATGCTGACTGTTTCGACTTCTGAACTTCTTTAACTTTTCACAGTCAGCTAACTTCCTGATCCTTCCCCTTCTTCAAGAACTCCTTTCTGGGAAAATCACCAAACCCCAAGGTCTCTCGTTAGTACTCATCCTGTGCTTAAGCAAGCTATACCATTGATCACTTCTTTTCCAGCTACCCCTTTCTCAGCTAAAAGTTTATTGAAGCCTCTAACCCAGTGGTCGGCAAACTCATTAGTCAACAGAGTCAAATATCAACAGAACAACGATTGAAATTTCTTTTGAGAGTCAAATTTTTTAAACTTAAACTTCTTCTAAGGCCACTTCTTCAAAATAGACTCGCCCAGGCCATGGTAGTTTGTGGAAGAGCCACACTCAAGGGGCCAAAGAGCCTCATGTTTGCTGACCATGGCTCTAACCCAATCCCATTGAGCTAATGATTTCACTTTCCTGATTGAAAATCTGTAATGCCTCTCTACTGCCTATGGGAAAAGCCTGAAGTCTTAAGCAAGTGCTTCAAGACCTTCCATAACCTGGTCTTTTTCCTTCACGTCTCTCAAAACCTATGCTCCAAGCATACAGAATAATTCACCGCTTCCTGAGTATGCCTCATATTATCTTTACCTGGTATTCGCTGTATGACTTATACTTATTCCCATCGTCTGGGAAACACTTCTTCCTCAAATCTGCCTATTAAATAGTATCCCTCCTTCCAAGTCTGCTTCTTTGCCCTATAAAAAATACCCTAAATTTCTCTTTACTCTCATAATTTCTTATTGATTTGAGAGTGAGAGAGATTTCTTGTTCCACTTATTTATGCATTTGTTGATTGCTGCTTGTATGTGATCAAACCTGCAACCTTGGCATATTGGGACAATGCTCTAACCAACTGAGCTACATGGCTAGAGTTGTATGATTTTTTTTTTTTAAACAAAAAGAAAGGGAGAGGGATAGTTAGAAACATTGATGAGAAACATCAATCAGCTGCCTCCTGCACACTCCCCACTGGGAATATGCTTACAATCAAGGTACCTGCCCTTGACTGGAATTGAACCTGGGACCCTTCAGTCTACAGGCAGACACTCTATCCATTGAGCAAAACCAGTTAGGGCTGGTTGCATGATTTTTTATGGTAAATACTTTTGCCTCATTTATTAATAGGAACTCTGAGTTTCCTTCATTAAAAAAATTTTTTTAAAATTGATTTCAGAGAGGGAGAGGAAGAAAGGAATAGAAACATCAATGATGGGAAAGAATCATTGACTGGGTGCCTCCTCCATGCCCCACACTGGGGATCAAGCCTGCAACCAGGCCTGTGCCCTGAGCTGGAATCAAACAGTGACCTCTTGCTTCATGGGTCAAGGCTCAACCACTGAGCAATGCCGGCTGGGCCCTTCATTTTTAAAATTTCTTTAGCAGCCGAAACCTGTTTGGCTCAGTGGATAGAGCGTCAGCCTGCGGACTGGAAGGTCCCGAGTTCGATTCCGGTCAAGGGCATGTACCTTGGTTGAGAGCACATCCCCGGTGGGGGGTGTGCAGGAGGCAGCTGACAGATGATTCTCTCTCATCGATGTTTCTAACTCTCTATCCCTCTCTCTTCCTCTCTGTAAAAAAATCAATAAAATATATTAAAATAAATAAGTAAATAAAATTTCTTTAGCAGCTACAAAGTACATGGTAGGCTTGTTTCTTCCAGTAGTTCGATCCTGTGCTGACACCTGCTGGTCAGATCTGGTTTGGCAGCCTGGCCCTACCACCTTCCTCTCGCAAGTATTAGGAGTGGGGACAGTCTGTGGCAACCTAACACAGCCAGACGCTGGAAGCATATGATCTTGATAACATTGCTCCTTGGTTCCACCCTTCCCTGGAGACTCCAGGAACACTCAAGTCTGTTGAGTCTCTGGCTTGCCTCTGGAATCTCGGTTTAAGTTCAGTTCAATCTTCAGAACATTCTCCATTGACCACACACCCCAGCCATTTGTACTTTACAAGATTTCAAGGAATTGGGCAGCAAGCAAAGAAGCAAGTGAACAATTTGAGGACAGGGTTTATGTAATCCCTCCTTATCACCTCAAAGAATCAAGACTAGCCAGTTTGGCTCCATGGATAGAGCAGGTTGAAGGGTTCCAGGTTTAATTCTAGTCAAGGGCACACGCTTGAGTTGTGGGCTTGATCCCCAGTGTGGGGACATGCAGGAGGCAGCCAATCAATGATTCTCATCATGATGTTTCCATCTCTCTCTCCCTTCTTCTCTGAAATCAATAAAATATATATTAGGAAAAACAAACAAGAATCACGACTATTTCCTACAGAGTGCTATTCCTTTTGACCTATGTCACACTTCAAGGAGGCTCTTGGGCCATAAACTTTCTTGGTGACTGTATGAAGAACCGGAGGTTGAGCCAAGAGTAGGTAGGCGGGGCTTGAGGGGTGGGGCCAGGCCAAAGGGCCTCTCACTTTGGAGCTTCTCCATTCAGTCAGCCCTTCCGGAACATCCAAGGCAAGACTGGCACCCAGTGCACAGCAGGTGAGCGACTGGCAATGACTGGCAAGGGACTGGTAGGCTTTGGGGGATGAAGGTGACAGAGAGTCCTTGCTCTGACAGCCTGATCTTTCCAGATTGTGAGACTAACCTGATGGTAGTATTCTTGGGTCTCCAGTGGAGGGGTCCCGCTCAGTTTTTCCTGGGGTAAGGCAGACATGGTTTGGGATGGTTTGGGGCAGGACTGAGACCTGGGAGTGGAGGTGTGTGTGTCTGACAGAGTATTGAGAGATGCAAGGCAATCTTGGGAGACATGGAGGCAAATGTAAGGGCCAGAGAAAGAGCATGACCAGAGGATCATAGGGCAAGAGAAAAAGTGAGACAGAAACAGGGCAAGAGGGAGAGGACAGTGGACCAGATGTGAGATGGCAACGGGGGCAACTGAGAGCTGGGTTACAGGAAGGCCAAGGAGGAAGGAAGGCCCAAATGGAGCAATCTACTCTCCTGGCCGCGGAACCTGGGTTCAGAAAGCCCCCAACAAAGCGAGGAACAAAGCGAGGTTCCTGGTTCCCCTTGAACTAACTCAGCTGGGGAAGAAACCCCCCGAGCCCCAGGTACCCATCTTGCCTGACTCTTTAGACTCCCATATTGGTTTGGGGGAGAGGGTGAGGCTGCTCCTCACTGCGGTCACAGCCACATCCTGCAGATCAGGGGAGGGGGAAGTAAGAAGCAAAACAACCAGAACAACCATAGGCAAAGCCATGGCGAGCGCACCCTGGACATTTGCAGCTGATGGGTCACGAGGAGGGTCCTAGCTCAGGCCCAGTGGAAGACTTAGACTCTAGTACAGCCTGCCCCACTGACGTGCTTGCTTCTCATGCTTCCTCGGTGTACTTCAACAGCCTTGACAGTATTCCAGGGAAGGAAATTTCTTTGGATTATTATTTTTTAAATATATTTTATTGATTTTTTTTACAGAGAGGAGAGAGATAAGAGTTAGACACATCAATAAGCTGAAACTGGTTTGGCTCAATGGATAGAGTGTTGGCCTGTGGACTGAAGGGTCCCAGGTTGGATTCTGGTCAAGGGCATGTGCCTTGGTTGCAGGCATATCCCCAGTGGGAGGTGTGCAGGAAGCGGCTGATAGATGTTTCTCTCTCATCCATGTTTCTAACTCTCTTTCCCTCTCCCTTCCTCTCTGTAAAAAAAAAATCAATAAAATATATTAAAAAAAGAAAAAAAAGAAACATCCATGAGAAACATCGATTAGCTGCCTTCTGCATACCCCCTACTGGGGATGTGCCAGCAACCAAGGTACATGCCCTTGACCAGAATCTAATTTGGGACCCTTCAGTCCACAGGCTGTCTCTCTATCCACCGAGCCAAACCAGTTAGGGCATGGATTTTTTGGTTTGAAACCCCTTTTTATCATTTGCTAATGCCTTTGGCCAAGTTGCTTAATTTCACTTGGCTTCAGTTTTCTCATTGTAAAATGGGGATGTCTATCTTACAAAGGGTTGGGAAGACTGAGTTAATTCTCATAAAGCATTTGGCACATAGTAGGTTCTCAATACGTTAGGTATTATTTTTATCCAGACTCCTGGGGCCCCACATTTCTCACTTATGTAAAGGCAGTATATCGCACTGGTTGACATGGGTTTTTGGAGTCAGAAAAACAGTAGTGTTTGCCCTTGGGTAAATTATTTAATTAAGCCTCCGTTTGCTCAGCTATAAACAAGGATAGTAATACCAACACCTCACAGGTATATGCACATGGACAGTGTCCAAAATGGTAGCTGGGAGAATTATTTGCCAGGTAAGCCTTACCTTCTTCCCTATAGCAGAAATACCCTGCTTTTCCTTAAAACTTACCTTGAGGTGGGCTAGCCTCATTCCTCCAGCCAAAGCTATTCTGCTCCTCTAGACTGCCTTAGAGATCAAGATTTCTTATAGCCCTGGCTGGTTTGGCTCAGTGTATAGAGTATCAGCCTGAGTGTGGTCTGAAGGGTCCTGGGTTCGATTCCAGTCAAGGGTACATGCCCGGGATGCGGACTCAATCCCCAGTATGCGATGTGCAGGGAGTAGCCTATCAATGACTCTTTCTCATCAATGATGTTTCTATCTCTCCCCCTCTCCCTTCCTCTCTGAAATCAATAAAAATATATTTAAAAACAAAAAAAAATATTTCTCACAGTAGTAAAGGGAAAAATAGGAACAAAGCATGTGGGGGAGGGGAAATATGACAAGCAAAGATGCTGATGAGATAGAAACCAAATAAGAGACAGAAAAGGGGAAAAGCTATTTCTCTCTTTCTAAGGAAGCCTGTGGCCTTTCTTCTGACTGACCGCATACCCCCACCCCCACCTCCTTCTCCAGGAGCCATGGAGTCCTTCAGCTCAAAGAATCTGGCAATGCAAGCGGAGAAGAAGCTACTGAGTAAGATGGCAGGTCGGTCTGTGGCTCATCTCTTCATCGATGAGACAAGCAGCGAGGTGCTAGATGAGCTCTACCGTGTGTCCAAAGAGTACACGCAAAGCCGGTCCCAGGCCCAGCGGGTCATCAAGGACCTCGTCAAGGTGGCTGTCAAGGTGGCCGTGCTGCACCGCAGCGGGTGCTTTGGCCCCAGTGAGCTGGCCCTGGCTGCCAGCTTTCGCCAAAAACTGCGGCAGGGCGCCATGACGGCGCTCAGCTTTGGCGAGGTGGACTTCACTTTCGAGGCCGCGGTGCTGACCAACCTGCTGACCGAGTGCCGGGACATCCTGCTGGCGCTGGTGCAGCACCACCTCACGCCCAAGTCACACGGCCGGATCCGCCACGTGTTCGATCACTTCTCTGACCCGGGCCTGCTCACGGCCCTTTACGGGCCTGATTTCACTCAGCACCGCGGCAAGATCTGCGATGGGCTCAGGAAGTTGCTGGATGAGGGAAAACTCTGAACCCAGCACATTCCACCTTGATCCTGACTAAAGGGCTGGCTGAGAACGCAACAGACAAGAGTGGGCTTTCTAACTCTGCTCATCTGCGCTAACACTTTTCAGTCCTCAGCCTTTCTCAAGAGTGCTTTTGACTGGAGGAGAAGCAATGAGGCCTCTCTCCCACTCCAGCCCCTGGCAGGAAACAAAACTGCCTGCAAAGAGGAAGTGAAATTTGGATCTCTTATTTCCTCCATAAGGGATGTTTGAAACAGGAAAGCCCCTTCCCCCGGGAACCCTTCTGGGGACACAAAGACAGAGGGGGGAAGGGGTTGCTTTGAGACATCCTAGACCTGCAGTTCCAGGCAGCGCCAGGACAGACACCGGAGGCTGTTCCAGAGCACAGGAAGAGGGCAGGGGGAGTTTCACAGGGGAAATAAAACTACTGAAACACGCACAGGGCTCAGTGTTTAATCTCTCCAGTTTCAGTGTCTTATATCTTATGATCATCACGATGGCATATAAACACCATTTATCTCACCACTTGCCTTTCCACACAGGACACTCAGGCGTATTTCAGTATCACTGGGGTTCCCTTGCCCACGTCTGTTTAAAAACTGTACCACAGATCAGTGCTACAAATTGCAAATAAATATTAAGTGAGGAGCAAGGCATACAGCGATAGACTCTGATGGGGAGGGAGTATAACAAATAGGAACTGTTCGTTATACTCCCACAACTGTTCTCTTCGAACTCTTCCATCCCTTAGCCGCACACAGGCTGAATTGAGGTGCAGTGACTATAGTGATTATTATTATTTTTTTTTTGAACTATTCAATTCCGGTACCTACATCACTGTGACTAAACCCAAATTCTTTACGTTGAGGGTCAGATCACTGATTGCCACATCCTCAATAACATGCTTGGCTACAAAGGTGGGTAGCCAGCAGTTACTGGCTCACTGTTCCTGGGTTTCCATCACACCATGGCTATAAAAATCCCATTTTTCAGCTAAGGGTGGGAAAGAACAAAATACCGCAAATAAATATTACTTCAATATAGCACCAAATAAATTAGGTAATATATTGGAGATGGGGAAGAAGTTAGGGCCTGAGGGAGTCACCTGCCTCCTGTTCTAAGGCCAAGGAATGGGGAAAGGCAGCAGGGATATAAAAACCTTTGAATCTAAAGGACAACTCTAGATTCAACCCAAGAACTGAGAAGGGGTCTATTCCCCACCCCCTACTCTTGCCAATAAAACTGTCTCAGGCCAAGGAGCTCTTGAGGAGACACAAGGCTGGGCCCGAGGGAGGGAGGTGGGCTGGGAAGCCTTGTTCTTGAGCCTCATCTTAGGCTCCTCTCCCCTTCAAGTTGCTCCTTCACTATCTTGCTTCTCTCAATCAGTTCTGGAAACATCAGAGTTTGAAGATTTCATCCTCCTGGTCCCGAAGAGTCTGGATTCGAGAGGTCCGGGTCAGTGGCACGGGACCTAGGACTGCTCGTTGCTGCATCCGAGGGGAGCTGCGGTGATGGCCTGACTCCTCCCCAGGTACCCTGCAAACGAGGAAAGGGGAGAAAGAGTGACAGGTCCAGGGAAGAACCTGAGAACAGGCCAAGTGATGAGGTATGTGGAAAGCTGTCCTCCTTTCCTAATACATTCAAGCTGGTCTAGATGGAGTCTCAATGTCTTCTGGATAAATCCTACCCTACTGCTCCTTCATGGATCATCAAAGCAGTAAGCACAGTCAACTATTTTACTCCAGTGAGAACACAAAACCCTTTCCCACTGCCTCTGCCCATTCCAGCAGCCACTGGCTCTGCTCATTGTCTTGGGGCCACTGGAAGAGAGGATTCCTCTTACTTCTGCAGACACTGTGCTTACTTCCTTGTGTTTCTGGTAAGGTAAGGCTGGAAGAGGGGAGAAGTCTGTGAAGGGGCTGAAAAGGAACCATTAAGACTCACCCACTTTCCCCTTTTCTCAGCTTCTGGGCAGCAGCCTTCTTTGACAGGCTGATCTGTGAGTCGAGCTTCTTCAGGAAGTCAGAGGCAGAGAGGTCATGGGTGGGCATGGGGGGTTCTTGGCCAGGTGTGGAAAGGACTTCGCCATTGGCCCGTCCTGAACCTGCTTCCTGTTTCTTCCTCTCAGCTGAGTGTGGCCGAACTTCAGCCTTACTTGGCTGCATCTCTTCCTCTCCATCTTTCTCTTCCTCAGAATCCAAACCATTGAACAGGTCTCTGGGCTCTGTCAGGATGGGGATGTAGAGGGTTTTCTTCAGGAAGATGGAGTCATTAGTATAAAGGCGGTTTGCACGTTTAATCTGTTCCATCTTAAAAAAAAATAGTCACCACAATTAATGACAGTAATAAAGATAAATGTTATATTTGTATAGCATTTAATGCCTTTAAATTGACTGTGTATCCATGGTGGATGTGGCTCAGTTGGTTGGAAGGTCACAGGTTCAATCCCCGGTCAGGGCACATACAGTAGGCAGCCCATCGATGTTTCTCTCACACCAATGTTTCTCTCCCCATTTCTTCTCCTCTCCCTTCCTCTCTATCAATGAAATCAATGAAAACCATATTCTCGGAAAAGGATCATATATATATATATATATATATATATATTTTTTTTTTAAGGGATTGTACAGAGTCTTATCTCTTATCAAGAGACCCTATAGCAACCAAGCTAAATTACAAGGGGTTGATCTTAGTCCTATTTTATTGATCAGTGGTTTTCATAGCTTTTGGTCATTGGACCCTTTTACATTTTAAAAAATTATTGAGCCAAGATCAGTTTGGCTCAGTGGTAGAGCGTCGGTCTGCAGACTGAGGGGTCCCGGGTTCAATTCCGGTCAAGGGCATGTACCTTGGTTGTGGGCACATCCCCTTAGGGGGTGTGCAAGAGGCGGCTGGTCGATGTTTCTCTCTCATCGACGTTTCTAGCTCTCTATCTCTCTCCCTTTCTCTCTGTAAAAAATCAATAAAAAATATATTAAAAAATAAATAAATAAAATAAAAAATTATTGAGAAAACCCATGCCTGAGTGGCTCTATTGGCTGGAACAATATCCTGTTCACCAAAATGTTGCAAATTCAATTTCAGGTCAGGGAACATACCTAGGTTGCGAGTTCAACCCTGGATTGGGGTGCATACTGGACGCAGTCCATCAGTGTTTCTCTCTCTCCCTCAATAAATATATCCTTGGGTGAGGACTTTTAAAAATATATATTTTATTGATTTTACACAGAGAGGAATTGAGAGGGATAGAGAGTTAGAAACGTCGATGAGAGAGATACATCGACCAGCTGCCTCTTGTACACCCCCTACTGGGGATGTCCCTGCAACCAAGGTACATGCCCTTGACCAGAATTGAACCCGGGACCTTTCAGTCCACAGGCCGATGCTCTATCCACTGAGCCAAACCAGTCTCGGCAAGGGTGAGGATTTTTATTTATTTATTTAAAAATATATTTTATTGATTTTTCACAGAGAGGAAGAAGGAGGGATAGAGAACTAGAAACTTAGATGAAAGAGAAACATCGACCAGCTGCCTCCTGCACACCCCCCACCAGGAATGTGCCCGCAACCAATGTACATGCCCTTGACCGGAATCGAACCTGGGACCCCTAAGTCTGCAGACCGATGCTCTATCCACTGAGCCAAATCGTTTCAGCGAGGGGTGAGGATTTTTATTTTTTTATTATTTTTAAAAAATATATATTTTATTGATTTTGTATAGAGAGGAAGGGAGAGAGATAGAGAGTTAGAAACATCGATGAGAGAAAGTCATCGATCAGCTGCCTCTTGCACACCCCCTATTGGGGATATGCCCACATCCAAGGTACATGTCCCTGACCGGGATCGAACCCAGGACCTTTCAGTCTCCAAGCCGACGCTCTATCCATTGAGCCAAACCGGTTTCAGCAGAGGGGTGAGGATTTTTAAAAAATATTGAGGAAAAAAGCTTTTCTTTATGTGGATGATAGCTATCAATATTTAAATTACTTTAAATTAAAACTGAAAAAGTTTATGCCCTAGCTGGTTTGGCTGAGTAGACAGAGCATCAGCTTGTGGACTGAAGGGTCCCTCGTTCAATTCCGGTCAAAGGCACATTCCTCGGTTACAGAATCCTGGCCCTGGTTAGGGGCATATGGGAGGCAACAAACTGATGTTCTCACTCACATCAGTGTTTCTCTTTGTCTCCCTTTCCTTCGACTCTCTAAAAAGAAAAACTCAAAACGTTTAAGAACATGTACTTATTTAAAAATAATAAACCTATTACATGTTAACATAAATATTTTAAGAAAAATAACTATATTTTCCCAAACAACAAAAATGTAGCAAGGAGAGGCACTGTTTTACATTTTTGCAAATCACCTTAATAACTGATTTAACAGAATACAACAGGATTCTCACATCGGTCTCTACATTCAATCTCTTTAAATATCACATGATGTAGCCTCTTTTTTTTTTATAACTCAGTTTTTAAATTTAATTAAAACTGTATCTCAATAGTTTCAGTTTGCTGTATATACTGTTCCTAGCTGATTACAATAAAATGAAATTCCCCCGATTCACATGTGATGTAACCTCTTGAAAATGTAAACTCATGAGAATGAGAATGAAAAAGGGAAATAAAATCTCATTATTACTATGAAAACAGTTTTGACCTTGTGGATCCCTGAAGGGTTTCAGGGACCCCTAAGGGTCCCTGGATCTCACTTTGAGAACTTCTATTAAAAATGAAGGAACTGAGGCTCAGGGAGATTAAGTTACTTGCCTAAGATTATCTAATGACAGAGCTAGGACACTTTTACTCCTTCTGGGAATATTCTACACTACAATATTAATTTCATTGACCAAATATTTACTTAGTACCTACTTATTTATCACTGAACATGGTGACTGGCATCACAATCTATCTACCTGTCTCCCAAGGTAGAAATATCAATGTCACCCTTAACTCATACTTTTCTTTCATCACCCATACCCCCGTGGTCAACAAAAGTGCTGCAAAACTCTCATATCTGGTCTAATCTTCCGTCTTCTGCCATCACTTTAGAACAACTCTTTTTTAAAAAAATATATATTTTATTGATTTTTTACAGAGAGGAAGGGAGAGGAATAGTGAGTTAGAAACATCGATGACAGAGACATCGATCAGCTGCCTCTTGCACCCCCTCTATCCCCTGGGATGTGCCCACAACCATGGTACATGCCCTTGACCAGAATCGAACCTGGGACCTTTCAGGCTTATGCTCTATCCACTGAGCCAAACCAGTTTCGGCACTTTAGAACAACTCGTAATACTTCTCATCTGAGTTCTGAAAGTTTAATGGGTCTTTCTACTCATCCTTCACCTTGCTGACATCTATCTTCTTCTTCTTCTTCTTTTTTTTTTTTTTTTTTTTTTAAGAGAGGGAGGAAGGGAGAGAGAGACAGAAATATCAATGCGAGAGAGATACATCGATGGGTTGCCTCCCCAGGTGCCTCCACCAGGGATTGGGTATGTGCTGACTGGGAATCAAACCAGACACCTTCTGGTGCCCAGGATGACACTCCAATCAACTGAGCTACATCAGCCAGGGCACATCTATCTTTCTCAAAAAATCAACCTGATAAATTCATTACCCTACTTATAAACTTCCTCACTGGCTCAGTTAAAATACAAATTATCATTCAGGAGCATCCTCAATCTAGCCCCATAACATTTAGCTTCATCTCTCTTCTTTTGCCATCTATATATTTTGTCATCCTGAACTTCTCATTTTTCTTAGAATGCTATATATAAAGAGTTAATATGCTAATTAGACCGGATGGCGGAATGACCTTCCAGAACAACCAGTGGGCATGGTTGCAAGGCAGTCGGGGCTGTGAGGGCTGAGCCCCTTGCACGAATTTTGTGCAGGAATTTTGTGTATCGGGCCTTTAGTATATCATGATCTTTCACACTTTTGTGTCTTTATCTGCCTAATAGGTTTCTCCACTACCCCCTTTTCTGCCTGAAAAATTTCTACTTATCAACTCTCACTTCCTTTGTGTTACCTTTCTTAGGGCTCCCATACTATTAGTATTGTAATAATACCTGCCCTGTTATATTGCTCAAACTCTATGAGTCCCTTAAAGGCAGGTATGGTGACGTGCTGTCTCTGTGTCTCTAAGGTGCTCCTCAACATCACACAAACTTGGCACCCAGCAGAGCTCATTAATGCTTTATGACTGAACAAGCTAGATCATAAAATAGAAAAATCACAGATACAGTATGCTAGTATTTTATCATCAGAGGCCAGGCAGCCAGTTGTACTAAAATTTCATCCCATATTGGCATCAGTTTAGGAAATCGTATTTCTTATGTCTGTCAAGTATCTAAGCAGTTTTCCGCCCCGGGCAAAAACTATTATAAAATCTTGACCAATAAAGTCTTATACCATAATGTGCTTAAAAATAAAACCAGATTAATCTAAACAATAAAAAAAGTTAAAATTGGCTTACAGTTCTGTACTTTTACTTTGCCAAGTGCTTTGATGACATTAATTAAAAAAATACTTTTATTTCAGAGAGGAAGGGAAAGGGAGAGATAGAAATATCAATGATGAGAGAGATTTTATCAGCTGCCTCCTGCACGCCCATTACTGGGTATCAAGCCCACAATCTGGGCATGATAATCAATATTATTTTTAAAAATAAAAACAAAAGAATGGAATATGTCCTCTTATATGGTACTTTTAGGAAATAACAAGGCCACAGAAAATTTATAGTAATATAATACCTTAGAGCTAGAAGGGACCTATGATATTATCTAGAAAAAATAAAAATTAATAGCATCAGCTCAACTGGTACACCAAAGTCATGGGTTAAAATCCAGTCAGGGCATATAAAAGAATCAACCAATGAATGCATAAATAAGTGGAACAACAAAATTGATGTTTCTCTCTCTCTCCTTTCCTCTCTCTCTCTAAAACAAACAAACAAACAAACAATTTTTTGAAGGAAAAATTATTAAAGGAGAATATAAGCTGTTGGAAAGAAAAAGATGTAAAAGGTATAAACAATTGGATTGTGTGCATTTGTAAAGAGAAGCATAGAGGAAGGAATTTGTAAGTATTTCAAAGCCTTTCATGATAGCTCCCTTGAAATTTGCACTGATGTCTTATTCCCTTCCAGATAAAAAGTTTTTTCTAATTTTCCATCCTTTGTTAATACCTCTACAAACTCACCACATTCTCACCTACCATCATTATTTATCCCTGTTTATTTCTCACTAGACTTTAAATTATATGAGGACAACTATACATTTTATGTCTGTACCTCCTAGAATGGCTACCAGAGTGCATTAAACCTACCAAGCATAAAAATGTTGCCTAAATTCAACAGGATGTGTAAAAATAATCAAACCCTCATCAACTTTAGTGCAGTATATTTTTACACCTAGCGTATATACCCTATGCATGACCTGAAAAGCTTGGTGTAGAGAGTACCTTGGAAAGAAGAAGGTACAGCACTGAGGAGGGAAAAAGAACAAGGAGAGATTGACACTTTAGGAACTTAGAACTAAAAAGCAGGTCTCCACAATTTGCTGTAAATTTTTAATCACTCTCAGTTTCTCTGTGACTATCAGTGCAGATTTTGTAATCAGACAGAAGTCTGAATTTCCACTCTAATGCTCATTAGTTATTTGACCTTAGTCAAATTGGTGAACCAATCTAAGTCTCAGTTTCCTCATCTGTAAAAAGGGGACAACAACTGTATGCTTACAGGGATGTGAGGATCAAATGGGCTGATTATATAAAGCCCCTAGCACAGTGACTCGAATAATAAAAGAGAGCTGCTCCTCTCCACTAAGATAGTGTGGACAGGATTGGTCCCAGCCAGACAGTGCAAATGGGAAAACAAACAAAAACACGAAGGTGGATCAGACAACACAACACAACACAACACCGTTAGGGAAATTTCAGAGGAAATAGCCTAGAAGGGACACTACATTGTCCTGAGGAATAAATCTCTTCCAACTGGTTGCCCAGTCCCAATCTTGGAAGACTCACCGTCACCCCGTATTTGAGTGCTAGTCCAGCCAGGGTGTCTCCGGGCGCCAGCTGATGCTCCAGGCGCCTCTCCCTCACCGGGGAGCAGGTAGACTGCACCAGGCTTCCGTACGAACGAGCCCGGCTCCCTTGAAGCAGCCCTGACCCCCCGAGGGGGTCCTGTCTAGAGGGAGATGCCATCTCCTCAATCTGCCGGCAGCTGGGGTTGCAACTGCCAGACGGACAGACGCCCGGCTAAGTGACCGATAGTGACAGCAGGCCCGGGGACTGGGAACAAATAACCAGATCCCTTTCTCTTTCTGTCTTCTCTCCCCGGCACTAACACCCCGCTCCACTCGCTTATCCTCCCTCCAGGCGCCTTTCCCACAGATCTGCTCTCTCTCGTACTCAGTCTCTGGGTCTTTCTCCTTACACACCCCTCAGACTTGCGACCCCCTACAACTTGCGATGTTGACCTTTGACCCTTGACCCCTAGGCACTGTCCCTCAGTGTTCCGTTCAGTTTGCCTCCAGGTCTGGCAGCCCGTTCTCGGGGGGCGGGGTGAAGGGTGGGGGCCTGATACCCCGGCTCCGCCCCGTCTCTAGGTTGGTCCGCTAGGGTCGGGAACAAATCGGACCCCCCAGGTGGGCTGTCGCCGCCGACCAAGCGCGTGATGGTCGGGAGAGCTTGGAGTGCACGTTCCACTCAGAGATCCTCCAAGGCCCACTCCGCATCAGAGGAGGCACCCCCTCAAATTCGGGCTCCACCTCTTATCTCTCCCAATGCCTCGAATACGACGAGACGCAAGGGCCCGGACCCAGCGGGAAGGCAAGTTCTTTGGAAAAAGACTTCATTTCCCAAGAGGCCCCGCGTCTGCGGGGTGGCGGGGAGGGGGGGGGGACCGTCGGAAGTGCAGTCCCCCTCGGTGGGCTGGAGGCGGGCTTCCGGGACCGCGCAGTGCATGCCGGGAAGCCGTTCCCGGAAGTCAGGAGGCCAAACGGGAGGAGACCGGACGGAAAGGAGACGCCCCACTCTTGCTACGGTGGCCTGAAAGGAGTGGCGAAGTCCGTGCAATAGAATTTATTATTTCTGGGGCTCACAGTTGTGATGTCTTTCAAGAGAGAGGGGGATGACTGGAGTCAACTCAATGTGCTCAAGGTAAGCGCGAGAGGGAGCGTGGAGAGCAGCTTCCGCTGCCCCATGAAGGCCGCGAAGGGGTTGTTTTGTTGCTCTGGCAACAGATGGAGATTGGTTGGGGGGCAGGGAGCCAGGGTTACTAGTCCTGGGTTGTGACCCATTCTTCGCTTTGTGATCTCTGTTCTCTCCATGGTCTTTAGTCCGTTTGAGTCCCTGTCATTTCCCCTCCACCCCATCCCGCTGATCTTTCCGGACTTCTTTCCCTTCTCTTTGCAGAAGCGGAGAGTGGGGGACCTGCTGGCCAGTTATATACCAGAGGACGAGGCGCTGATGCTACGGGATGGACGGTGAGGGAGGGCGAGAGTAGATCAAGCCTGAGGGTTCTGCGATTAGAGGCTCAATAAACGTTTGTTACTGAGGAGAGCGGGAGGATCTAGGATTTGTTGGTGGGGAGTGAGAGCAGGAATGTCGGTGGTGGAGATGAGTTTAGGATAGTTGGGAGTTGGGCTTTGGAAAAGACTGCTAGGACAGGGTGGGACCTCCGGCAGAGACCCATTCCCCAAGGACTATTTATCTTTTCTCTCCTCTCCAGCTTTGCTTGTGCCATATGTCCCCACCGACCTGTACTGGATACCCTGGCCATGCTGACTGCCCACCGTGCAGGCAAGAAACATCTGTCCAGTAAGTTTGTCAGAAGACAGGGGATAGAGAATAAGCCCTTAAAGCCCTGGCCAGGTGGCTCTGTTGGTTGGAATGTCTCCCGTAAACCAAAAGGTTCCGGGTTCCATTCGCGGTCATACCTAGTAGGTTTCAGGTTTGATCCCAGGTGTGAGTTTGTGATACAACTGATCTGTATTTCTCTTTCACATCAATGTTGTTGTTGCTCCCCCCTCCCCCGCCTCTCTCTCTCTAAAGGAAGGTCAGATCCTCCAGTAAGGATCATATATATACACGTTTAAAAGTAACAAAAATAATAAAATGTGTGCAGATGACTCAGGGTGCTTTGCTTTTAATTTTCTTGCTTTTATACTCAGGCCTGCAGCTTTTCTATGGCAAGAAGCAGTCAGGAAAAGGAGTAGAGCAGAATCCAAGACAGCAGAATGAATTGGAGAGGGAAGAGACCAAAGGAGAGGTAATCCAGAAACGGAAGTGTGTGTTCCCAGGGAGTACCATACTGCATAACTTAGGCTTGAAGGGCTTTGGCTTCTAGAAAGAAGCTCTGATTGTTTTCCTTCTGCATACCAGGCTCCTCTGTTAACCCAGACTCGACTTATCACCCAGAATGCTCTGCACAGAGCTCCTCACTATAGCAGTTGCTGTCGACGAAAGTACAGGTCTGTGGGGTGGGAAAGTCCAATAGGGAGGGATAAAAGGAGATAGATGGTTCTTTTTTCTTTTTAATTCTTATCACCATTTATCCTTATATACCCTCTTGCACCTCCACATACCCTCCTCCCCCTGCTATCACCACATTGTTGTCCATGTCAATGAGTTCTCATTTTTTCCTTTGTACTCAGTCATCCTCCCTGCCCCACCATAGCCCACTACCCCTCAAACTCCCATAGGTGGTTCTTTTTATTTTATTTTAATAATAATAATAATAAATATATATATTTTTTCATTTTTAAAATATATTTTATTGATATTTCACAGAGAGGAGGAAGGGGGAGAGATAGAGAGCTAGAAACGTCAATGAGAGAGAAACATTGACCAGCTGCCTCTTTCACAGCCCCCACCGGGGATGTGCCTGCAACCAATGTACATGCCCTTGACCGGAATCGAACCTGGGACCATTCAGTCCACAGGCCAATGCTCTATCTACTGAACCAAACAGACAGGGCCACATGAATGTCTCGATGAACACAATTTAGGAAACACTGCTTCAAGGGGTTGGGAGTCACAGGAGAAATGGCCCTTCCCTTGACTGCTTTGACAGATTTTGATTCTTCTCTACTCAGGCCAGAAGCTCCTCGTCCCTCTGTCTCACCTTCCCCTCTGCTACCCCCAGATGTTGAACTCCAAAGTGGGAAGCCCAGTAGGGACCCAGAGCCGGGCGCAGGCCCACAGGCTAAGGAGTCAGCAGCTGCCTCATCCCCTGCACCTATGAGCCCCACGAGAAGACGAGCCCTGGATCATTACCTCACTCTTCGAAGGTGAGTGTGCAGAATCACTCTTCCCTTTTTCCTATGACCCTCCTCTTTTCAAAACCTTCTGAATTTGTTTTTTCCTGTCCCGCCGACTTAATAAACCTTTCCTGACCAATTCTGTTTTCTCTGATGTTTCTAGCTCTGGATGGATTCCAGATGGACGAGGTGGATGGGTAAAAGATGAGAATGTTGAGTTTGATTCTGATGAGGAGGAACCTCCTGATCTCCCCTTAGACTGATACTCTCTTTCCCATTTAATTCACAAATAAACTATAGCAGGCGCTGGGAGCCTGACTTTCCTCACGTCTGGTTCCTTGTCCCACTTCAGGATTTCAGAGGTGTTCGTTCTCAGTCCAGCCAATCCTTCCCTGCAATGTACACAGCTGCCCATACTTCTAACCCCTCCCCCACCTCCTACCAAAGTCATGCCAAGCGTCAGCTGCACGCAGCCTGGTGCCCTATTAATAAGTCTGTCAGAAGAGGTCTTTGCCCTTCATGTTGTCTGCCTTCACTACCTCCACTCAAAATCCTTTCCTCCTTCAAATCACATGATGGTTGTGGGTAGAAACTGGGGGGGCGAGGAGGGGTCTGGCCACACCTGGACACATGGCTGAGGCTAAGTATCCTGTGAAAATAGAAGAGACTAAAGGCATTAGCAGGGTGATGGGGAACACCATGGGAGGGAGTTCCCCCCGCCTCTTCCTAGTAACTTAACCTCCCTGCCTGTTGATCCCCAGAGTATAAATAATCCCCAGATGAACTGGCAGTAACCCTTGGGGGTTAGCGCCAAGATTTCCACCCCAAAGCCCAAGGAAAGAAGCAGGCAGAGTGGATAGAAGGACCTTTATTTACAGGAAAGGGGAACAGATGAGGATTTTAACATTCAGGGCTCCCAGCTCTTGATGGTAAAGGCAAAGGGAGTGTTATCTCTTTTTTTGCTGGCGACCTGTAAAGGAGGAAGAGTAAACAAGTTTTGTTCCACCTCTTGCTTTCTGCAAAGCTGGTCTCCCTTCCAGCTTCTTGACTACACTTGAAAGAGGTAATGCCTTAGGCCAACAAACATGCCCATATCATATTAATAAAACGAAATTAAAAATGACAACAAAAATACTCTGTTTCCATAGAGGTATGTCTACCTTCCTTTCTACTTCTCTTCAGGTATATATTTCTTTTTCTACTTTCTGACCACTTACGGGATTTGCACTTCACATGTGAATATCACTTTGGCAGCATCCCGGGCTGTTAATCACTAAGTCAGCTTTTAGGACTATTGGCCAGCTTTTTTAAAAAAAATATTTTATTGATTTTTTACAGAGAGGGACAGAGAGAGTTAGAAATATGGATGAGAGAGAATCATCAATCAGCTGCCTCTTGGATACCCCCTACTGGGGATGTGCCCGCAACCAAGGTGCATGCCCTTGACCAGAATCGAACCCGGGACCTTTCAGTCCCCAGGCTGACGCTCTATCCACTGAGCCAAACCGGTTTGGCTCAGCCAGCTTACCCTCCCCACAACACCATGTCTGTAGTTACTCACGTAGTTCATTGTTCCGGGTCACGGCCTGGGCTGCCCGAGCTCGTGGCCCTTGCTGGGTAAAATGGTAGCCAAAGCGGACGATGGAGGGACACTGTTCGAGCACCGTGGCCATCTCCATCTCCACTGCATCACCGGGCCACTGGCGCTGGGGGAGGGAGAGATGACAGTTGTCAGCACCCTCTCTGGGTTGTTCACTGACCCAGATCACACACCCTGTGGGAGGTCAAGGGGGCTTGTTTCTCCAGTATGGGAGAGGTGCAGGTTTGGCTCCTTTCATAGAGACAATGAAGAGAAATCAAACAAGATCAGGTGATTTCCTGACCCAGTGGCTGCCTCAGGGAGGAGACTTAGTGAGTATTAGCTGAATGCAAAGCCCAAGGGAAGGGAATGCTGACCTGGTTGTCTACACGGAGCTCAGTGAGCGTGGCATTTTCCCGAACTGCCTTCAGCACAGCCATGAGCCCTGTGCTGCTAATGAAGTTGGATTCAATGTTCAGGCTCTGGAGGCTACGATTCTCACGCAACATGTCAGCCACCGCCTGGGTAGTAGGGACTTGGGTTAGGATTAGGGGACAGTTTCACAGATGACTGAGGAGAGAAAGAACAGGAGCAAGAGGGAAACACAGCTCTTTGAGACAAATCCTTGAAGAGCTGTAGGTGGGGCCAGGGGTGACAGGTAAGGGAGATTAAGTGCGCAGTGGAGGTAGGGGTAGGAGAGAAGGTTTGGCTCTTTGGGAAGATGATCTAAGTATTGCAGACTGTGGGATGTAGGACTGAGGGTAGGAGTCTCCATCAGGGCTACCCTAAGAGAGCGTGATGGGAATAGCCCCCCCCCCCCCCCCCCCCCCCCGCACAACCCTTGATGTCAGCCTTTCCTGGAGTGCATGTCATGTTATGGGGAGAGGGCTAGGGATGTCAACCAGCCTTACATTGGCAATGGGGTCACCACTCTTCGTGGCCACCAGACTGAAGCTCCGGACATGCGTATTTGTCTTCATGGCCTCACACAGTTCAGTTAGCATGGGAATTGGGATGTCCTGTCAGGGAACAGGAGGAGATGGTGGGCTAAGGAACTCCCATGTCAGCAGTTATCCCAGTTTTTTTTTGGAGGATGGGGGTCAAATACCTTTATATTATTGAGGTTCACCTCCTCCAGCTCCTTGTCATTGCTTCGAACACTCTTTAATATCTCCTCGATGTTTGTGGGGTTGGGGGGCTCATCTGGCACTGGCTTATACTTGTCAGGCTGCACTACACCTGTGGGTGAAGGTAGGAAGGAAACCCTGTATACCCTGCAACCTCCTCCCTGTTGGTTCTCTTACCACTTATGCACATGTCTTTTTCCCCATTCACCTGTCTCGTCCTTTGCTACCTTTCCTCAGACTCTGGGACTGCCTGCCAAGAGCCCTGGGAGCCATGCTCCCTGACATACTCACTGCTGATGCCTTCGGTGTTGCAGATTTCTCCACTACAGATGGCATCATAGTATTGTTTGTTGCTCATCAGGGTGTACATGCCCAGAATTGCTGGAAAGAGGAAACGGGGGATAAGGAATGAGAAGGGATGGTTCCAAGCCACCCCTCTCATCTCATTCTGAATCTTGAATTTTTTAAGCCTGACTTCTTCTACTCTTCCAAAGAAGTTCCCCCTCCCTTGGGTCCCTTCCATAAATTGCTTGAGGCAGTAGTTTTTAAAATATTGAGACTGGGCTAACGAAGGTCCGTCCCTAAGGAGCCACTAGAGGTTGAGGGAGTCTTGTCAGACTTCTGCCTGTTTTCAGCCAGAATAGTTCCACTTTTATTTGCTTTATAATTTTTTTGAAATTGCCCTTGAGATATTTTAATTTAACATATTAAATTTAAAAATGAATAATATAAACAAGGAAGAAAAATTAAAAACCGCTACCTGAGGTTTTTCAAACATCCATGTCCTGGTTCAGGGCCTTCCCCACTAATCCCACACCATGAGTAGGACCCCCTGCCCCTGATCTTCCCACTCCTCAACCTCCCACAGCTGCCTACCTGCAATATCACACATCTCGGCATCTGTGGCATTGGCCAGTGCCTGCTCCAGCTCAGGCTCCAGAGTGATCTGCTCCTGTGCTGGAATTTCCCTTTTGGGTTGAATATATGGTTTCCCTGATGGGAAGAAGAAGGATGGTTCATTAGAGGGCTAAGATCCAGGATTCCAGCTTCCTTTTCTTCTCCAGGAGATTTCAGAATGTTGAGTCACTAGGGGACACTGGAAAGCCTGAATCCTCGTCAAGCTCAGGACTCCTACGTCTTTTATATCAGCTGAAGCAGGCAAGCTGGCATGCAGGTATCAGGGCAGTAGAGTCCCCAAGCAGCTAGGAGCTGGCAGGTGAGAGAGAAGCTGGAAGGGGACATGTGAGAGACAGCCATTAGGGTTCCAGGAGGCATGGATGTCAGGGTCTCCATACCCTTCTTCTCGCCTGTGAAGGGCACCAAGTCATCACGCTCTTTGACCTCTAATGCCTGCTGCTCCAGGTACTGCAAAAGGGCATCTCGGTCCAGTGGCCCTGTCGGGCTCTTCTTTGTCTGGTCACGTTGTCTTAGTCCAGCTGGCAGGAGCAGGTTCTTAGGGATGAGTTTTGGGGAGCAAGTCAGACTTTCCCTCTGACCTGGGGACCTCCAGGGCTCCCTAAAACTTCTCCAGACACATTTTCCTGGCCTTCCTGGGACTTCCCAAAGGCAGCCCTGGTCTCAGCCACCCCAAATGCCTGGGGATTGCCCCTGGTTCCTAGCTAGAACCCCTACCTCAGGGTCCATCTCCTGTAGCTCGCAGTCCAGCTGCTCTAGCTGCTCGGGGCTCAAGGTCCTTAGGATCTCATCTTCATCGATGTCTCTGTATTTCTCCAGTTCCTTCAGATACGATGACATGATGGCCCCCACCCCCTCCCCACAGTGTGGCACTCACAGAGCCTGGGGAACATGAGGAAAGTGGTTGGACAGTGGAAAGACCCACATGGACAAACACACTAGGGACATAGAAAGACCAGCTAGGGAGCAAAACAACTGGATGTCTTAAGGTGAGAAATCTAGTTGAGCATGGGAAGATAGGGGAAGGTTAGGTTTAGTTAGAGCCTCCTCCTTGCTGCTTCCTCAGTTTTCAGCCACTCTGAATGAGGATCCAGGCTCCCAGGCTGGATTTATCTTTAAAATATGATGGAAACTCCTGGCAGCACCCCTCTCTTAAAACCTCGCCCAATGGGCCTCTTGACCTACTACAGCTGCTCCACAGTTGGCTCCAGGCCCAGTTCCTATTGAAAGGAGTTGGGGGGGCAGAAAGCTTCAGGAATATTTCTCTCCCTATAATGCAGTCTTTTTCCTAAACTGGTTTAAGAAAGCAAGTTTTTTAGGGGGACAGTTCTCTTACCCCACCCTCATTCCTTTTTTTATTGTAAGGGATCAAGATTTCACTGTTTGCTAAAACCCTAAATCCTAAGGGAAAGCAAGGGTGCAGAGAAGCTGGGGGAGCAGGAGCGCGTACTTCCAGGTTGGGGAAGGGTGGTATGTCCTTGGAGGAGGGGCTGAGTCCCCGTAATTTGTCCCTGGCTTTGGACAGGAAGGTGACACCAGACCAGTGGGTGGGAAATGCTTTCTAAATGGGAGTTTCTTTAAAAACAGGGGAAGGGTTAAACTTGCACAATCTTTTCAATATAAAAATTACACAAAAGCTACA